TTGAATCATTATACGAGTATAATATCAGGAACGGGGGCTTTCCCCCACGCGCAGGCCATTCTGCGCACGTCTGCGGGGTCCCCGCAAAAAAAGTACGCCTCCCTGGCAATACTGCTTAGCAGCTTAGAGGGTATCGAGAGGGAGAGTAGAGTCTTAGATAATTTTACGATAAAACTTATCGTTTTGATGACAATAGCGAAAAATCTATTTTGTACCCTATTTTTTTTCCATGTCCTGGAACTGGAAATTTTTATATGTTATTTTTAATTAAGTTTTGAACAATTGTACTCACTTTCAGCTTGATGTGAATGTATGCACTTTCACTCTTATTTTTCTGTTTAATTTGACCGGGCTATTTGACGCTTACAACACAAAACAAGACTTCATTTGCATTACAAACCTTCACTATGAATCAATTTAAGACAATTCGAAAACTATATGATCGAAACTCACAAAAATACTGCATTAAGTCGTCATTAATTTATCATCAGTATACCTATGTTCTTACTATTGGGGCACAGACCTTCCCTATGGATGGAATAGGGATATTAAGCCATTATTGTGTGACTGCAAATGTAGCCAAGACCAACAGCTTACCGTGCCAACCAAGCACGGAGGTGCTCGAGATAATAAGTTTTTGGTCACCCATCCAATGACCCACAACTAAGAAATATGCTTAACTTCAACGATCGCAACCGAAAGCGCTAACCACTTACGCCATCGAGTTTCTCACCGCATTACGTACTAAATTAATACGTTGTTGCCAAGAAGAGGAATTATGCTTAACTGTTTGCGCAAAGCCATCAATTAATTCTGTCAGATCCGAATGTGTCTGCGAACATTAAACAGCAATGTTGAATTTATGTCTAGCACATGTTTAGGCTTTAGTTAGTGCCTAGCGTACGTCTGTTTGCCAACAAACAATTGCAGCGCCTGAAAGCATGAATTTAGTATTAATAATACCGAAACCTAGAGAAAGGTAAATAGAAAACTGAATATCATAAACCACTCATTGCATAAACCGTAGGTCTAGAGTTAGGCATTTCAGTGCTTGGTCGTGGTATAATTTAACGAGTTTCCATTCTGTTTGACAGAAGTTACAAAGGATAACCCGATATTATTATGAATTCGGAATATTTTATTAGTATGTGATAAAGCTCAGAGTCGAAGTTAAACTTTCTTTTGAATGGTCACATAGAATTCTGATGGAACACAGGTCTCTGTATCTGGAGGTGGGCGCTAATAGCTGTAACACAGTTCTAGAAACTAATATAGTTATTAATGAACCTAACCTAACCTAACCGAAGTTCCAATAAATATGTTTTCATTTTTTTTCTTCTACTACCAGATGTACCTGAGTATTTTATTTAGCTCCAAAAATAGGCGGCAAGGAATCTGCAACATTCACTGTCAATAATACGTAAGGAGAGTATAATTTGACTTAGTACTGAAACGTACCGAATAATACTTGTATTTGTACTATTCGTGTAAAAAACTTAAGGTCATCTGGGGCTATATAATTGCCAAGGGGCAAATATAGCTGTTTCAAATAACTCGTTACTTAATTACTGCTGCGGCGCAACGATCCAAAGTGGATCTTGGCCCCGACACAAGATGACGCCATGCTCTGCGATCCCGAGCTAGATATTGCCAGCAGTCGGCACCCAAAGACTGCAAGTCTTTCTGCACCTCGTTCCTCCAGCAGTAGCTGGGACGTTCAACAAGTCTTCGTCTTATCGGTCGCCCCAAATACGCTCTTTTCACTGGTCGATCCTCTACAGATTCGCTTCATGTCCGAGCCAGCGAAGCATAGCTGCTTTAATTTCTCCTATGATGGCTTGGACGCTAGCAGCTCGAGATGGAAAATCTATTATCAAATAACTCGTTACTGTTTGGTTTTTAAAATGACTTACCTATTATGTGACTGTAGGGTAACCATTATTTTCCTACATATAAAAAGATTTTACAATTAACACATAAACTGTTTGATGTAGAGAGTCATATGTTATTCCGCCACTTTTTTACACGTTACAGCTAATAGACCGCATTAAAAAATATTTCCAAAACATTTTAACTTCGCAATATTAGAAGGTGTTCAACAGTCTGTCGTCAAAATATTAACAGTTACCTGGGGTAAGTAATTTTAATTTACTTATTAAAGTAATTTTTAATTGATTTTTACGCTTCAGTAAAGTCAAGTTTTTGACGTCTTATTAATCAATGAACACCGGCTGCACGCACGGAAAAGTGTAACGCCATGTGCCATGTCACATTCTAACTAATTAGTTCAACGTTCTGCGGTGTGTATGAGGCGAGGTCAAGGGGTTTCTTCGATTTTGAGACGGCTACGTTTGCCCCTTCAAACATTGTGAGTGAGGTAACTGTAGCTATGGTAATAAAAAATACTAGTGATGTTGTAAATGTCAATACATTCATAGATATACATCCATAAAGAATTATCGAAATATTTTCATTAAAATGGAAAAAGATACATTTATCCCCTGATGATACTTTAAGTAATTTTAAAGCAAATTGAAATATAATACAAAGCATTGAAGCACAAAATAAGTTACATTTCGTTGGACTTGACGTTTACTGTTAGTTTGAAAATTAGAGAACAACAAAGACAAACGCTACATTTACCCCAGCAGGCCTATTCGCCAACTGCTTTTCTGTTTAAATCACCTAGATATTAAGTAATCCACTACTACTTTATAATAACGTCTCTAAAATACTTGTTCTAAAAAGCATAGATGGATATGCAATTTTCTCTTTAGTTACACAGTGTAAATGTCAAAAATATTAGGGAAAGGGCCAGCCGGTCAGGGGCATATGTGACTATTTATCTTTAATTGAAAATCAAAGGACATTGTTCAGTGTCCATACATAGTTAGCTAGTTAGTTAATTAGTTGGTACAGTTAGCCTAAGAACCAAAAATCATGAAATATTATTTACCAGGTTCAAAATCGTAAGTAAATGACTGTAAAACCAAAGATTATTGACGGACACTTCCGAGAACTTAAATTATTAGGAAAACTATTTTTTTTTTGAGATTATGTTTAATATTCAATGACATATGTCAACCTATGAATTTAGTATGAACTCAGTATGAAGTGAATTGATATTACAACTAATTCATTTTATTCGGTGCGGCTTTAAAGAATAACTATTAGGAAAAACTTGGTTAGGTAGGAATCATGAATAGTTTTGCTTCTTATTTATTGACTATTTTTCACATAATTGTAACATATTGTTTATTGTATTTATTTGTATATCACATGTATATTGTGTAAATATGCAGCGTGAATGTTTATAAGGTGTTCTTGAATAATTTGGCAATATGATCCTCTCAGGATGTTGTGGCACAGGTTCACTAGCACTGGGTAATAAGGGCTCTACTCTTTGGTAATATCGATGGCATATTAGATAGAATGCACGGTATAATAAACTACTCTTTGGATTGCACGAATGCCACAGATTACTATGAAACTGCATGCACCACAACCACAGAGTAACAAGTTTTATGCCGGCCCTTCACTTGACAAAAGTTTGTCCTTCTCATGCTTAGTAAGGAATGAAAAGGACAGACTGATGTCATGTTTTAAAATAGCAAATACGAATAGCCAAGTGAAGTGCCGGCATTAGGAAGAAAGAGTGTTTTGTTTAGCAGCGCTGCCATAGATTATACACATAAAATGGTATTATATATAATGGTAGTAGATTATTTTTTAACTTTTTAATTTAGCTTATTTAAGTGGAAGTGTCCGTCACAATCTAAATACTGATAATTATCGCAAAAAATATACTAAGAATTATCATAAATGCCAAATTGGTGTTGGTTCTTAGACCAATTTTAACATTGTCCTTTATTCACTTTATTTCAATCTGAACTCGTCTACTTAATCATGAACTACATGTATAACATAAAAAATTAACTGTATTTGGTAAAAATTATTATTAATGTGATAATATTGAAGTCACAACTTTGTCATAAATTCACAGTAGCTACAATCTATTTACGGTGAGAGGAAAAACATATTGGTATGGAATATACTTACTTCAGACACAAAGAAAAAATATATAACCTAGCTAAAGCGTAAAAGAACATTTGAATTTTCATTTCGCACACAAAAGCTATTTCGATTCGTGCCATAATATTTTTTATGACCCATTTACTTTCAATAGCACAAAAAAGAACGAACGATATCGTGGCGCATAATTCATGCTTGTTTGCCGCCAAAAATTCACATTAGATTATCCGTGGTTCACGCAAGTCTACATACATACATATTTTATCAGAATAGCAGAGTGTAGCGTTGCCGCCTGTTTATTAAAAAAATGCCAGCACTGACCGTATTTCATGGAGAAAAATAATTACTGTGGGACAAGACACAAACTTGGACGTGAAAGATTCCATAGGTAGGGTAAGGACACCAATGAATGAACGGTGAAGGCATTTTTGAACGTTAAAAATTATAAACACCTACTTTAGGGTGGCTTTGACATATAAAAGCTATTCTTTTATACTAAAAATATTTTCGAGTTTAATATTAACAAGATACATGGTAGTATTTTGTTTATTACGAGTTCTCGATATTAGCAATCCCGTTAATAACATAAATTACTATAGTTTAAGTGAAATAATAGTGATTTGATGCAATATGACCCAAAATCACTAATGAATGAACATCAAAATATAGTGTATGAAACTCAGTACTCCAGTGAATGAACGTACTAATTTAACTAGAAACCATTTTTTTTATTATTTATTTATTTAATATTTCATTTTAAATTAATAATACAATTTTGAATCAAAACGTGGTGATCGATCTTCATAGCATTTTTTCCTTAATATTAGTTGAGCTATTAATTCTACCCCATCTGATGTAAGGTGGTGGTGCAGTCCAGATGCGAAAACTGGCTGAAGCAGCTGTTCTACCTGCCACAGCAGCCACTCACTGAAGAGAGAGGTTGTTCATTATTTACTGGTGCACTTACCCTACTGTGGTAAAATAAACTTGGCAGGCATCTCTATGCAAGCAAATTGTACTCTACAATTTCAAAGCAATTTCTTAAGCAATTCTTAAAACTCACAACACAAAACCTCAAAAGGAATAAATTCCCAAACAATTAAATAAAGAGCTCGTCTCGTCAACAAAATGTGACGCCAAGAACTCCACCAAGTTAAGAATGTTAAGAAACATTCAAGAATAAGTACTTCTATAAGTATATTTAACTGAACGCGCTACAAACTTTATGACAACGAACGCCAATAGTACTCGCCTCGTAAAAGGTTTTATATCCCCATAATATGCTCCTGTTAACATTGTTTCAGAGTTTCTACTGCAACAATAAAACAACGTGCAGCAGTCAATATATAAAAGGCGACCGCTCTGAATTTGAAAATAGGGCTATTACCTTGTTTTACAATAGCTGTTTTCATTTGCAACAGTTTATTGTCTACATTGGTGTACATTTAATACTCAAGCCTCGCATTATCTAAATTGAACTGTATACGTTAGTCGTGAGATTTGATTGAATAACGATACGCAGAGACGTATTTCTTTTAGTTTTATTAAAATTAATAGGGTATTTGACAAGTTTTAGAAAACGATCTCACTTTATTGACTAATATTTATGGAGTCCGTAAAAAGTGGATATTCATCATTCTGCTGTGTATTTCAGTAAAACTAACCAAATCAAAAACTCCATTTTCAAGTTGCCGCGAAAACGTTTCTCTGGACAATATGGCGTCTCACTAGTGTGCGATGTCACACGACTGTTATTCGTCAAACGATACAATGTAATGTCACTTTAACCGGAAGTTTACTTGCGTGTGACGTCATTTTAGGCTCCGCCAATCCCAAGCGTTTTGGATCACGTGACAAAAGTTAAGAAAACTATTATCTTTTTCGTGGATTTTTAGTAAAATTATGAATATTTTTTTTTTAAAAATAGTGAATATCCCTGACAATATTCATTCTAAACACAGATGCTAACAATTGGCACTTTATTTTTAATACTGTCAAATACCCTATTTTATGGTCCTTTGACGAAGCCGTTAGACTGGGTTGGATGATTTTTTGTACAAGAGATAGGAGAAATTAAAGAGGGACTTGATAATGCCACTTTTTGGCATGAAGCTAAATTCACAATTGAAAAAAATAGAAACAGAAGGTTTTTATGGATGGGAAATTGATTTTCCTATGCAGTCAAAGCCGGCACGAACTACCTTTATAGTGCCAAAAAAAAACTTGTAACGGAAACCTTATCAAAAACAGGACTTTATTGCCATCCTTTGAATTTGACTCACTAATATTAACGTACAAATATTAATACGGAAGTCCTAAGGTGTAATAATATATTTGTCAGCGTGAAATATATTTTATTCTAAGCCAACCTAATATCGTTACATCAAAACGTCATAATACCTTTACAGCCACAATTCTTGGAATGGAATTCTTAAGAGCCACGCCCGGGCCTTCTAAAGAGGCGTAAAATTAATATAAAAACCCTCATGGCAGGAAAGAAAGAAAGAAGAAGCTGTCTCGCTCGCTCAATTGAATGTTTATTTACAGACGTGTGCGTGTGCGAGAGTTGCTTATGTAGTTGAGTCTGAGCATATTTTATTTGATGCTTGTATGACCGTACCATATCTTCCATTTTTGTTTTAATCTAAGGGCTTTTTATTTTGTATATGGAAACACATTTTATATAACAAAATTAAATTATATTGTTTTTTCATAATCATATTCTTTATTGCTTCATGTTTTATTACGTATTAAGGCGACAATAGAAATTTATTCTGTAAATATAACAACTAACTACTTGTCATGAAGATTTTCCAAGTAGATGTAGATGCTTATGTACACAAGTTTTTAGGGTGTCATCTGCTCGGAGATTCTGGGCTCGAATCTTGGTGGAGGAAAATGCCATGACTGTTTGTTTAAATATTATCCTATTAAAATAATCATACCTATTTATTCGTATGTATCATTAATTATACGTATTTCTATCTGTTGCCCTTGCATTCCATTGCACAAGCCTCACAGTGGTTATTTTGGGGCTAGTCTAATTGGTGTGAGGGTAGGATATGTTTTTTTATGATTCATTTTCTGATTAGATACTTAGCTGACACACAGACGGACATCGGAGGTATAGTAATAGGGTTCCTTTATCACCGCATTCTATCTTTTATACCACGGCGAGTGTTCTGCGGAGCTTCCCTTATCCCACCTTCTCCTTTCCTTCAGAGGAACTTCAGACGACCTCGCTCGCTGGCCTACGTTTGCACCGACTTACTATGGCCACTATTCCAACGCGAGCAAAGAAATATGCTGACTCATTTCTTTGTCGCACTAACCGAAAATGGAATGCTTTGCTCGCTCAAGTGCTCTTATCCTCCTTTAACTCGGGATCTTTTACGAGAGGCGTGTGGAAGCAATTACAGGCCAGCAAGGTGAGGATAGCTGGTGCTTCTGGTAGAACTGCTGTACCAGCTATCTTTGCTTCTGGACTCCATCGTTTCATCATCTTTACATCAGGTGAGGTGGAATCATTTGACGGACCTATTTATAAAAAAGTAGGTTTGTGTACAGAACCCGAAATATGATTTATTTATATGAGCATGTTTTCGGCAATCATGCTTAGCTCACTTAACATTCGAAAGCCATTTATCAAAGTGCCTAGACTCATCCAGGACTAATCAATTGTCTATTTATATACTAAACAATGAATCTGCGTCAGGTATAGTAAGTACGGGGAGCTATTAATATTGGGCTTAATTAGTAATGGTAATATCTTATCTCTACATTTCATTGTTCAGAATTTCATATTGAACCACCTGAATCAGTATGTTTTTGTCTATATGTTTTTTCAATGGAAAAAGGAAGGCAGATATGCATATGGCCCGTCTGATGATAAGCAGCTGCCATAGACTGTAGACGTTTGCGATACCAAAGCGTCACTTACTCCGTTATGATACAATCTCCTTCTTCTTGGAGTCTTGGAATCTAACTCAGAGACAGAAATACAACACCCAGTTGCGGCTAAACATACGGTGCAGGGTATGCGTTGCACATGGGTACAGCGGACTCAGGGGGCACCGAGCATCACTCCATTACATTTTAACCGCACGTTTACTAGCACATGCTAGGCCAATGATTGCACACGAACGCTACAAGACAATACCACCAAACCTGAGCGTTCTCCCCGCCCCCACGACAACGGCTAACTAGAGCTGCGGTCGGAGTCTAGTTGAGCCAACCCCCTCAGGTTCGAGTGGTATAGAGGCTCCAGACAGAGAGGAGACTACCCCGTGGGGAGATGCCATCAAAATCATTTATTTAGTTTAGGCTGTCATAAGCACTCATGAATGTCTAGAAACTAAGCCATCAGTTCGTAAATCTACGTCGGGAGACCGCCGGGACGCCTTGTACTGAGAAGAACCGGCAAAAAACTCAGCAAGGGCTGTTTTTTCTCCCTGTTTTATTATTTACAGAGTCATCAAATTAAAAAATGACTTCAGAGATGATTCATGAAGTCACCTTTCATTACATGATTAAATAATATACATTAATTGTTTACCTGCATTTTGATTGCTGTTTCATACAGTATAAATACAAATAGTGGTATTTATATCAAGTGTAACTAAACATTAACATCTTTAATATCAATAAAGTTAGGGCAGACTTATCTCCGCTGGCAGCACCCGTTCACGAGCATGACGCATGAACCAGCCATCGCTTCGCTCAACCATATTTTAGGGAACGTTACGACCCGCCTCACATGACACCATAGTAGTCACCTCAACCTTTTACTATTAAGCCTACCAAAAACACTTTTACAATACAATACAATACACAATACTTTATTGAAAACACCACAACACAGAACAGAAATGAGGGAAATTACAATTGTAAAAAAAAAGAGTGCTTCAATGGGCGGTCTTATCGCTAAAAGCGATTTCTTCCAGACAACCTTTGGATGGAGAGGATTGAAAGAAAGCTAGAGTCGGCGGTGTCAGTAAAAGAAACAAGGTATATGAACGAATTTATGAATTAAATATACATATTATATATACATACATATATACATATTATACAATACATAGACTACACATATATAAGTTTAGTCCAGTCAGCAGAGATGAAAATGCAGCTACATAGACAAAAAGTGATTTACAACTAGATTTTTAAAGACATTAATAGATTGCGCTTGTCTTATGGATACAGGAAGAGAATTCCATAGACGTACAGCTTGGACGTTAAAAGAACGACCATAGAAGGTCGTGTCATGAATAGGAATCTTTAGGGTTAAATTTCCTGATGACCTTAGAGATAACGCATTGGAATTATGAAGGTAATTAAGCATTCCTTGAGATAGCGCGGGGACAAAGGATTGAACAATATATTGTAAAGAAGTGTTAGGATGTGAGTATTCCGGCGAAGGCGAATAGGTAGCCACTTGAGCTGTGATCGAAATTGAGATACATGGTCATATTTGCGTAAGCAGAATATAAACCGAATGCAGAAATTTTGAAGTCGCTCAAGCTTGTTTAGCTGGTCCTCTGTGAGATCAGGATAGCAGGCGTCAGCGTAATCAAGAATAGGAAGTAGCAGAGACTGTGCTAGGGCAATTTTGGTGGCAATTGGAAGGAAATTACGGAGTCTCTTCAGCGAAGCTGCTGAAGCAAACAATTTTCGGCTAACAGCTTGTAACTGTGGATCCCAACTGAAACGGTTATCGACAATTATTCCTAAATTTTTAACAGATACACTAAATGGAATACTGGTGCCAGCAAGAGTTACGTTAGGAAGTAATTGCAAATTCACTTTGGCAATCAACCTTGAGCTACCTATAATGATGCATTGTGTTTTGGAGGGATTTATTTCTAGTCCAAAGGATTTGCTCCACTCTACAATATGTCGCAAATCATTATTGGTGGCCAGTATTGCTTCAGATAATTGATCATGAGGGGCTTGTCTATAAATTTGAAGATCATCTGCATACAGGTGGTAGGAAGAAGAAATATTTTTGGAAATAGAATTAATAAATATAGCGAAAAGAAGAGGAGATAGAACGCCGCCTTGGGGAACACCAGCGGAAGTGTCGCACCATGAGGAAAAAATCTCATCGAGGCGAACCCTCTGCCTGCGCTCCTGCAAATAACTGCGAAACCACTCAATCACCGATGGAGATACGTTAAGCGAGCGCAGCAACGCCAGAAGAATGTCAAAATTAATAGTGTTGAAGGCATTGCTGAAGTCCAATAATGTCAGTACCGTTAGGTGACCTTGATCCATCCCAAGGCGAATGTCATCTGTGATTTTCAAGAGGGTAGTCGTGGTACTGTGCCCAGGGCGGAAACCAGATTGGAGAGGGTTTAAAAGGTCATGACGAGACAGGAATGTATTTAATTGGTTATGAACCAGACGTTCGAGGACTTTAGATAAGAAGGGAAGGATAGAAATAGGCCTAAAATCGGCAAAAGATTGAGGATTGGATTTTTTGGGCAAAGGGATGATTTGGGCTTCTTTCCAAGCCGATGGAAAAACAGCGTTTGCTAAAGAGCTATTAAAAAGAAAGGTAAGTATAGGAAGGATTATATCTAGGATAGGTATCAGCATATTACGACTTATGCTATCATTACCTACCGCATTGGAAGATATGGATAGCATGCCCTTCCTAACGTCACATTCGGTGAATTGAGTAAAGACAAAAGGTGAGTAGTCAGGAACTGGTAAAGATGAAAGAAAATTTAAAGTATTAGTCTTGTGTGAATCACTAAGACTAGACGATGAAGAGAAGTGAGTATTAAGTGAATTTATATCGACGTTACTAGGAATAGACTTTTGACGAGCTTTACCAATTCCAAGTGACCTAAGAAAGTTCCACACTTTAGAAGGATCATTATTACTGACAGAAGCATGAATATGGCGACGTAAAGCATCCCTACACACCATGTTGCAGTGATTACGAGCCTTGACATAATTAGTTTTATTGGAGTCTGTCGGACGAATTTTATATTTACTCTTAGCTACGTTCTTCTTGAGCATCAATGCTTTTATATCTGGTGTTAGCCAAGGTGCTGGATGGTGCTTAAGTTTAATGGGACGAAACGGTGCATGTTTATCGTAAAGTGTGGTTATTATATTATTAAAAGCAGATACTTGTTCGTCCACAGTCACGGCATCAGTCACCAACGACCAGTCGACTCCATGCACGTCTTTGAGAAACGCATCCCGATCCATACCACCAAAATTCCGCTGAAGAATGACTTTGGGCTTGGACTTAGGAGGACGGATCTTGTATGATAAGAAAACCAAGTCATGATATGAAAATGCATCCGCCGAACATTGACCATGTTTCATAACACGTTGAGGAGAAGACACTATTAATAAGTCTAGAAGTGAAGGAGTAGTATTTGGGAAATGATGAGTAGCGCTAAGTGGAAGGATGTGTAAATTACATGAACTGACAACGGATTGGAGGGAGGTGGCACGAAAATCACCTTTCAAAAGACAAGTGTTGAAGTCACCCATGATCAGGGAATGGTCGTAAGAAGGGACGCAATCTTCTAAAAGCTGTTCAAAAGAACTGAAAAAGTTTACAGTTAAGGAAGGGCTGTAGTAGACTCCGAGGAGGACTTTCGTGTGTGAGAGAAGTATCTCAACGAACAAATGCTCGCCAGCATTAGTTGGAGGAGGCTGTGTGGAGAAGCTAATGACAGTATAGGGAATTTCAGTACGCAGATAAATAGCAACTCCACCACCTCGAGAACCAACACGGTCGTTGCGTATTAACTGGAAACCAGGTAAAGAATATGAAGTAGAAGGTAGTGAAGGTTTAAGCCAGGACTCGGAGACTAAAACGGCATGAAGATTTTTATTGTCAAGAGACGCCAACATATCAGTGTAGTGAGCCGGAATACTTTGCGCGTTGATATGAACCACGTTAAAATTTCTAGGTACATCAGAAAACTGGTTATCAAGGTATTCAGAGAGAGAGGGTATACTAACAAAACCACTGCTAGTGCTGCCGCTAGCTGGTAATACAGATTGGAAAAAATCATCATCACTATCTATTTCCAAACTGGACATACAATTTAAGCTTATATACTTAAAAAATAAATAAATAATATATAATACAAATAAAGATAACAAATATATAACTATTACACAAAACTAACTGTCTATTGGCTCCACCTGCCTGTTGAGTGGAATAAAAAAAAATCAAAAATAACATGATGATTTAAAATAAGACTAGAACAGAACGCATAATCATAACAAAACGCAATTAGATTTTTGCGCTTTTAAAATAAATAACATCTTACATAGCAAACTATAAACATATTCACAAATTAAGTTAGAAGCACTTAAGTAAGTCAAGTCTCCCCAGTACATATTATGCTTTACATTAACTCTGAACATCGTCTCGCGACAAACTTCAGCCTTGTAAACTTAAGTAAACGACTGTTTACTTAAAATTCCAAAAATTAGCATCGTTTGTAACCATTATCTCTAAGAACGTAATAATATTCACAGAGTTACTACTCTCAAGAAAATAAATTATTCAATATGAGACAACAATATCTCCAGCCTTAGACTGTAATGTGCTAAGTGCTTTATTTAGTACGTCGTTTAAAATAGGATAAGCAACTTCATTTTTGCTTAGTATAATATGCATTTATATGACCGCCAGTGACTTCTATTTTAGATTTATTTTATGTCAGTTAAATAAAACTAGTTTTAACGGATTAATGCTTCGCTGTCTTTTCAGGTCTGCATCGTCAGAATAATGTTTTTTTATTTACTTTGTCGAGCTACCTTCGAAAGACTTTTTATTGATAAGATAATAAAAAAGTCTTTCGAAGCAGACCTGTAAAAGCTCCGACCCGTTCTCCGTACATGGTACATGTACATCCGCTAAGAAAGGATTTTGATCAAATCTACCCCCAAGGGGATAAAATAGGGAATGAAAGTTTGTATAAAACTTTGTTAATTCTTAAGGCTGAGACTATGCATGCAGGTATAAGAAGAGTCATAGATGAATGTCATTGTGTATAATACAAGCCTGATAACAAAAACTGTAGTCTACACTTCAGTTCTACACCGAAGCGAAGCGAGGGCGGGCCGCTAGTTCTGTAATACGTGCCTAAGACTAGACCTATACAGTATACAATGCCAAATATCTAATTACTAAGGTGACCATACTTCGACAATCCTTGATACGGCATGAATGTTCGTAAATTACCTCTCAAGGGTTAGGGATGGAAACCATCTAAGCCGAAAACCGAAACAATATTTTGGTAACTCGATTCCTGTGTAAATTGGCTGCAACGGCTTCCGCCGCTCGGATAATTATATCACTTCAATAAACGCTTTGATAAATTATGGTGACTCGTGTTGAGGACGCATTCCTAAACACGTTATGGGCCATTTAGGTCGAGCAGGGTTTATTTATACTCATTGCAGAACACACGTGTCTATGTTTAAAAAAAATAAGTAGGTAGTATATTGTATCTGTAAACGGTAATTATATAATTAGCGATTTTACGAGGTTTGTACTGCACTCATAAACTTAGACTTAAGATATATCGTGGTTTATATAATCGTCCTTCCTCCTCTAACTCACCGTTTTTGTATTCTACCCTTTATTATATACACGCCGAGCAATTCAAATAAACCACGCATAAAAAACGTCTCATGATACGCGTAATGTGTGCGTGATTTTAATGTTAAGGCGCTGTCCGACGACCTGTGTTGTCACGGACGAGGCCGCGCCACGCTGGGTTGCCAAACGTATGAGAACTCTAACGTTGGAGACTTAGTAGTACCTATACTTGATACGAGGTAAATAGAAATCTAGTACACTCTATGATGGCATAATGTAACTGTACTTTATGAGTCGACTGTCCTTTGTGGACTGGACATTTATTTACTTCCTGATAATATTTTTGGTTTGTGTACATGACACAAACCGTGAACATTGTTCAAATTTCATACCAAAGTGTACGAGATTTCTATTTACTTTGTATCGTGTATAGAGACTGCTAAATCTCAAAAATTTGGAGTTCTTACACATTTAGCAACCCGGCGCGGCGCAGCCTCACCCGCGACAACACAGGCCGTCGGACAGCACCTTACGATTGTTTAAAAGCAATCATTGTATTCGTTTATAGCTAAGAGCTTATCTACCATACATGAAGACGATTTTTCGCTTCCGTGCAATTAACTTGTATTAATACGGTATGTAGGCGTGTATAATAATCATTGTACCTCATACAATTTTCATTAAAATTCAATATTAATACAAAATAGACGTACCTTCTGAAATCTCTACTCCAGCACGCGTAGATGACAGGGTTCATGGAAGAGTTGACCCAGCCCAGCCAGGTGACGACAACGTTCACGATCTCCTCGTGGGCTATGCAAGCCGAGCATATGCCCGACAGCAGGTTTACCACGAAGAACGGCAACCAACACACTATGAACACTCCCATCACTATACCCAGAGTTTTGGCCGCTTTTTTCTCCTTCGCAAACTTAGCCAGCTTCCGCGACAACGAAAAGTTCTTAGGCAAATGCTTGGTATGAGTCACATTGGTCAACCGCGTCGAGGAACGCGACAGTCCGTTATTTTGCAGAGCCGTCAAAGGTTCTTGATCTGCCTCCTCAGGAGTACACGCACCGTGACATGCATCACTCCTTTGTCTCATTGTACCACCCCTATGTATTCGCAATGTCAGCTCGAGCTCACCACTAGGTCTCATCACTTGCTTAGTACCTATTTTTAAGGAACGCGTCTGAATCGTAGCCGCGCGATATATACGGTAATACGTGAACACCATCACAAATAACGGCAAATAAAAAGAGATCGTCGAGGAGAATATCAAGTACTCCAAGTTATCCGTGAAAGGGCACTTGTAGTCAGGCACCTCTTCTATCCTCACCGCTCGCCACCACGCTATCGCTGGGAAGGATATTGCCCCTGAACATACCCACACAGCGGCAATTAGGAAGGCGGCTTTTCTACCGCTCATTCTCATCGGGTACGTGATTGGGTCCGTGATGGCCCAGTAACGATCCAGTGAGATCACGCACAAGTTTAGAATGGAAGCCGTGCTGAATAGTACGTCGAGAGAGCGCCAGACATCGCACCAATCGACTCCGAAGAACCAGGTGTGCTCTAAAACTTCGTACAAGGCGGAGAACGGCATCACTACTAATCCTACGAGGCAGTCTGCTACAGCGAGTGACGTGACGAAATAATTTGTGGACGTGTGCAAGTATCTTTCCCTCACCACAGCTAATATCACGAGCATGTTCCCGAAAACGGTTGTCAAGGAGAATATTAACAGAAAAGCGACTAATAGGGCCCGGTCTTGAAGTAGTTGGATGTACTCGTTCCAGGGTTCACCGGTGTCTAGGGTGAGGTTATAGTTGGAGATGTTGTCGAAGGTGACATTGAACTCGATGACGGCGTTGTAACTCCCCAGCTGGTCGAGAGTGTACTCCGGTCCTCTAAACGATACGTCCAGTTGGCCTGTTGCCACTACCGTTCCGGTATCGGTCGCGTTCATATTTTCCCGATGGCTATTTGCTCACATACTCCATGGTGAGTGTTTATGCTTCCCCTGTTTCGCCCGCAGCCATTTTGAGATTACGTTCTTGGCAGGCATTGTGTGTTCGTATTGCAATTTCTGGCACATGTTTCGTTGGCATATTTTCCCTTGTTGCCCACAGTTGTGCTTAACAGCTCCCTGTAACAAAATAAAATAGATGTGAGTTTTCGTATTGTATGTATGGAACCATTGTGTTGAGTTGATTTGTCACTCAAGATGTTGTGAATAACGCGTAGATTTGTAGAACAAACCATTATTTCGAATTTATATTGTGAACAAAATTTATTGTTTCGTAAATACAAAAATCGCGTTCTGAAATAAATGTGATATATTTAGTTTGTTTTTAATGTTGGACAAAATTATCTAGTAAAGACTAACAAAGGATGGAATACTTTTTGAAGTGAAAACTTCTTTAGCACCGTTGTGATTTGAAACTCGATGAAACAAAAAAGCGACAGTAGTGGACACATCGTATCCGTAATTTTGTTAAGAGTTTTTAGGGGAAACTTATTTTCGGACGGGGTGTAAATGGAATCCTATGGAAAAGATGAAAAGTTAATGCGTGTGCTACTCGATTCCTCTATGCCTTATGCATCGCCCAATAATAAGTTATTTAAGAAAAGAAGATTCACTTCAGGTGTGTGGGCCGTGCACACATTTTTTTTGACGTGTAACATCTTTCCTCTTGCTTTCCTGCAATTTGTGGGAGTGATTTTGTGAAATGGGACGGAAGTGTGTAACAGGAAATTGCGAAAGCGCGCGCTATTTGATTCGATTTTAGAACATAATGTTCAAATGGCTTATTCCTTTTGTTTTATTACTTTTTTTACTAATATAAGGTGAGGTTTCAAATGTTGCACATCATACGCGATTACTGTAAGGCTCGTTTTTTTTATTCATTACGCCATTCCATCTGATGTTAAGTATTAGGTATACTAGTAAAGTCCAACCCGACACACCAATAAAGATTGCTAATAATTTAGAACAATGTCCGGTCACAGTCACCCTCAACATGATGGTGCGAAGGTGGATAAGTCGCTACGGTCTTCTTTCTATAAAGTTGAAGTTGCTTCCCCAGACTGGCGCTCCAACTCGAGTGGAAAATCCACCTTAAGTCTTTTTTTTAACCCCTTATTTCTAGATGAGATCAAGATGACGTGATAGACGGACAAGCGGCTATAGTAAATGTACGCGTCGCTACCTCAGCACCGTCAGCTCGTTCTTGCTGACATTCCGATGACAGCCGCGGTGGACAAACGCTCACTCTCTTATAGCCTGCGAAGACAAGGGACTTTCGTCAGCCGCGGACAAAAATCCCTGAATCGTAAAAAAAAAGTCCGCCTAGGACTCGTCACAGACTCAACGCACACGGCGTGCGAACGTTGTAGCCACAGAACACAGAAAGAGGTGGGAGGGGCTTTGTGGTCGGGGCAGGCGCGCCACAGTTATGTTTGAGCAAATGCTCATAAGTTGACCAAAGTTTGGTGCTGTTTGGTTCGATTGTTTGATGTCGCGTCTTTAATTGGCTATTATCTATTAGGCAGAAATGTAGTAGGCTCCAGCTGGTGACATCGGTTCCTGTACAAATGGTCTATGATCATACTTCTAACCTCTTTCCGTGTTCTGTGATTGTAGCCCGAAATTTTAAAAAAGCGCTCGCTATGGCATTGAATAAGCTCGGATTATGTTGTGTTGTAATTAACATGAAGTTTCAGAAGAAAAGAAGACGTTTTAAAATTGAATACTGGATCTACCCCTTTAAATCGGATTGAGCACAACGCAATCTTTTCCCTCGTTGACGCAGGCCATTAACGTGGATAAACTTTTATTACATTTATAGTGGATTAAACTTCACAAGTCTATTTTGATTGTTAATCTATAAGTTTTGATTAGAAGATAAGAACCTTCTCGAAAGATTAAAGTTATGAACCACATTATTAATGTGACATCAATGTACCCCCGAAGTTAGCTTATTAGATTTTCGGCAGCGCCACTTTAATAAGTTTTGAAAATAAGCTGAGATCGTTTATTATAAGTTGCAATTAAAACTTTTCATGTTAAGGGTGCAGATTATTTTGGAATCACTTGTTTTCGGAGTCAGTCACTTGGGTTTTAAGGTTTTTTTCTTAAAAGCTCAATGATCAACTACTTTATTAATGTTCTAAACATAAATTATATAACATAAAAAGGGGAGGGGTGTTTAGAGAAAAATAGTGACAAAAACGCAAATAGCGAAAAAGTATTGAAAAAACGAACATGTGCTGTTCACATGCAATAGAAGTGAAACCTACAAAAGTGTGAACACGTAAAAGCCCTCCATGACTAGGTTCTGCAGAATAATGGGCAGAATTAAATACTCTAAAGTTAAATTGTATCGAAAAATAAATAAAAAAATAAATAAAAAAAAACATTAAATAGATTTCGGATTATGGATTCGTTTCTGATCGGTAATATACAATTTTTTTACTTACAATATATTTTAGATTCGATTAGTTCAACCTTCAATCTTTACGACTCTGGAACATACTTCCTGATTCCGTTGGAAGGTCACCCAGTTGGTACATTTTTAGGAAGAAAATTCATGAACTTCTTCTAGAAAGCTAAGAACGTTAACTCACAAGTTCTCTTCAGTATCTCATCATCAATATAGTGTATATATATGTGTATATTATAAATAATGGGTATATATATTTAAATGTTTTCTATGCATGTATGTTTAGGTATTTAAAATAAATATTTATGTAGTTACTTTTATTGATGTTCGTTTATGGTAAATCGCTTTTTTTATTATAGCTGCATTCGTGGATGCCAATAGCTTAACTGGCAGAGAATGCTTTCTGCGTTATGTCCGCCTTTTGTCCCTTCTTGGCTATAAAGTTTAAATAAATAAACAAATGCTCAGACATAGAACGCAAATATAAAATCTAATTAAGGGAAACACCAAGAACCATGTTTAAATCGAAAGAAAATTTAATTAGGTCATTTTATTTTTAGCCATTCGTTCTATTCGTAAAAAAATAAGAGAAAGAATAGCTTTTTTTTCTATTTTAACATCTGGCATTCAAATGCTTAAAAGCAAAGAAATATCACTGAGAACTATGTTGTTCAATAATTGCTTTTAAATTTAAAGAAAATAAAAGCTTTTAAATTGGTTAAATCAGATGTACTAGTTCTAACCAATAATAATTGACGTTCTAAATAATGCAGGGCTTGTTTACCGGTTAATTTTCAAACCTAAATCGGTGTCAAGTACATTAGGAGCGTTTTATTTAGATTTGGCTCTACCTTAACCCTAAAAAACCGGTTTTCCTAAAGAGGGAAATCAAATAGGTTTGAATCAATTTAGCGGTTTTTAAAGGGTTTCATTTCGCTCTTTCTGTCGGCATCTATACGCTAGCAAACGTGTCAATAAATGCATCAATCTCTGAGCATTAACAAGTTGTGACTTGATTAGTTCAAACAAAACAAACTTCAAGCGGTGCCGACGCGTGCACGTGTCGCTCTGGATTAAACCGGTTTATTAAGTTTTAGGCACCGCTTTCATTTCGGTCACGCTCCGAACGAAACCTTCACTAAAAACCGGTATTAACCTTTATTTACCGGTATTTTCGAAACCGGTTTCTAGCCCTGAAATGATGTGATCACAAAACACGAATAGCGTACTTTTACAAAAACAATGAAATTATGAGGATAGGAATAAACTACTTCATTCTTTCATTGTGCCAGAAATATCTACCGATTCGTTTATAAATAAGCGGAACTATTTATTACTCACTATCCGTGCAAAAATAAACAGCCAGCTAAAGAAAACGTTAACCCTTTCCGAGGGTTCAATATTCTTCGCATCTATGGATTTAAATCTGCGACTAGAACATTGGTAAGTTAGGCCAAAAGAGAGAGAACAGAAGGTTATCTTGTTTATGTTCTTCAATGTCCATACCTACGCTTGGCAGTCGCGCTAGGATTATCCACATTGACTTATGTAGGTAAAAAAAAAATATTGCGCTAGAGGCACTCGTATCTAGTTGCTTTGATTAATTGTCGAGAATGAATCATAAAGAACGGAAATATAAACCTAAAATATTTTAATGTTATTGTTATAATTATAGTCATCACTTAATTTGCATAAACATAGTATAATAAGATGTTAAAATAAATCATATAGGTACATATGTTTTGCCTTTACATAATAGCATGTAATTGTTTAAGCTGATGGAAAAGTAAATGTATTTTTTTTAATTTATTAATTTTGTCTAACATCATAAAAGTTATTTTGCAACAGCCACATTAGGTACAACTTTTCTTAAATATATTATCGTTTAGTTTCTTAATGTCATTTGGAATTTTATTATAATATGGACACACATTGTTAGACAACTTTTATTACTCCTGATTCGGTGTCTCACTTAAAATTAGTCTACTAGGATTCCTTTTTAATCTAGAATTCATATGCCTTGCTTTTTTAAATAAGTCTGTTTGTTCATGCATAAAAAATACAAGTTTCATAAATATAAATTGATGGTAGTGGTAGCAAACCACGGCATTAAAATAATGGCTTACATGACTCGTCAGGTGGTATCCCAGCGACAGATCTGATAAATTATATTACAAATAAAAAAAACCTGACAATTTACCATTTAATGTTGAATTTGAGCAACCGCATAATGAACAGATATATATACTTGTTTTTATTGCTCCACTTTATTTGCACAAAAAAGTCCACAGACGCATGTCTCAAGCGGATGGAACTCCCGCTTGCATTGGTCTCGACTGGTCTGATGTATCGTGTCCGTGAGCGTTGTCTATTTGTGCGTTGCAGCGCACATTGTATGTAGATTACCTTCTGCATTGTCTATTTTGTGGTTTGGCCGTGGCTCGCCGAAGTGTGCGAGAGGTAGGCCAGGAGGGTAAAGGGGGCTGGTTCAGGTTCTGTCATGCGAATAACGGGTTACGGCCGA